TAAACAGTTGATTGTTTTACCATGCTATAATTACTTGCTGTAGTTAACTATCATAATGTATGAGTAATAACTTACTTAGAAGTAATAATTTAAATGGCTCAGCAAATGTGTGCTCTTTTAAACTTAAATCAGATAAAAAACAAGTGTGGTTTTTTTTCTTAGTTCCTCCCCCTCAGTGCTGCCCACCTGGTCTTATACTTACCTTCAGCCCAGATCCAGTGACCTTCACTGTGCAGCCCCACTCTGAGCCACACAGAATTTCCCTAACAAATGATCGATTGGTACTTTACATGTGCATCACAGCCCCATTCATATTTATTGGAAAGCTGTACTTGGAGTGACCACTTTCCCAGAGGAATGAGTGAGGCTGTGACATGCATGCAGAGTATGGGCCATCCATTCTTGGAGGTAAGGTTGTGCCCTCAGAGCAGGTCTGAAAAGTGAACCTAACTACATTGGTGCTGAAGGTACGTATAAGACCAAGTGGGTAGCAGAGAGATGGAGGGAAATAAGTAAAATAAAAAAAAATAAAAACATAATTTCCAGGGACAGCATAAAAAAAACTGATAAACTTTTATGTGTTATAACGAGGAGCTGCTGAAAGCTTGGAGGATAGAAACCTGAAGAGGACATCCTATAGGGATCTCACTTACAGCAGATATTAATGGTTTGCCTCCCACTGTCTATCTTTCTATTGCTATGTGCTTTTAGACACTGAGTAGATATGGGGAGGTATGTAAACCAATAAAGAAGCAACTTATTTCTATGCACTAACTCAGTCCCATGCACAAAACTATTTAAAAAATAAATATGTCTATAAGACAGCAAAGCAGCGCACAATGGGGTTGTAAATAGGCTGTTCATTATGCAAAGGAGCTTAGTGAATATGGTGAAGTTTCACTTTGCAAAGAATACCCAATCATGTGCAAGGAAAATACAAAAAAAAACAGTATTATTGCTTCCACATGATTGGATGATGGCTAGCAGAGCTTCACCTCATTTACTAAACTAAGGGGAAACTTTCACTGCAAAGTGCAAATTCCCTTGCAAAGTGAAAAGTCCATTTGCCTTTAGTAAATAAATGTCAACGTGTGTTTCTCTCTTCCACCTTTCTACGTTTTTTTGTGCTTCGAAAATAGTTCTGAACAATCAATTTCTCTGCATAAATTATTTTTATTTTAGTCTCTCTAATAACTTTGAAAGCAAAAAATGAATAGCCTGCAATGGAAAGGTCAGTTGATGTCGAATCTACAGCTGCGTCACTGCGTGCAGGTTTTTTAGAGTCTATTATTTCCCAATATATATTTAAGAAACCACATAAATAAGCAAATGGGAATTTAAAACAAACACAAAACAAAAATAATTAAAACTGTTTGCTATTGTGCGTCATTAAAAGAAACAGAAAACTTGTAGCCCGATACAATGCTAAAAATGCTAGAAACTAAAAGAGAAAAAACTATTTCCACATGCAGTGCTAACAAACGATGATATCTTTGGCTGAAGAATGATTATTGAGTGAACAAAGAATGAATGCCATGAGGGGAAGAAGAGGATAAATTGCTGTGGAATGCAACAAATGAGTCTGAAGGAATGACAAAGGTCAGCGATGGTTTCCTAGAAAGACAAGTGGCTTGTTCTGTAAATAAAAAAAACTGGCAAAGGAGAGATGGAGGCAAGAAATGTTGAAGCTATGTTACCCATAGTTGCTTGGACCCATTCTAGGGTACCAGTTGATGAATCTGGTGTGAAAGATTCCACAATGGTTTGGCTTGTTACTGCTACAGAAAATGTAATATCATTATACCAAAACAATAATGTATGTTAAAAAACCTAAACAGCAAAGGGTCTGTTTACTCAATAGGACTGACTTACTAAAGGAGTTAGTAAGAAAGTATATGTTTACTCAACTAAATGAAGCTGTGGTCACTTTGAATGCCAAATTATGCACAAAGGATTAAATAAAAAGGAGGGTGCCTTGCACATCAGTGATTGATTGAAGTAAGCACAGCTTCACTTTAGTCACTTTTATTTACTGTTCTACTCCTAGTAAATCAACCCTAAAGAATAATTTTCATCTTAGATTGTGCTTACATCAAATACCTAAGAAGGCTCAGTTAAATTCAAAAAATAGAAATAGAGTGGGAATTAAAAGTAAACATAGTTTATAGTAAAAAATTAAAGACAGACAGTAAGGGCAGTTCAAGCATTGGATTTCCAGGGCTCTGCTAAGAGAGCAATGCTTCCACCAGGGGCGGACCTACCACCGGTGCAGCTGGTGCGGCCGCACCGGGGGGGGCAGTATCTATTCCAATACAGCCCCGGGGCAGAGATGGGGGTAGCCGCCGGTGTCCGGCTGCCGGATACCATTGGATCGGTATTCTGGTGGGTGGTAAGTTATTAAATAAAATAATTATTTTTTGTAGCCCAACTAATGGACATGCTGTATAAAGTACTGCTGGTATTTAGAGTGTTATATAGCAGGTCCCATTCTGCATTGCAGCAATGCAGAATGGCACCTTCTATAGAGGACTACAAATATCAGCAGTACTTTATACAGCATTGCCATTTTTACTACTTTTTTTGTGTGGTTGCTACAGGAGATGTGGGTTGGGGGTTTGTGGGGGGTTTTTTGGGGGGCGGGGAAGAAATATCTTGCACCAGGGCCCTTTGTTCCCTAGGTCCGCCACTGGCTTCCACATTCTCAGAAGCACAGAAGTTGGTCAGCAGTTTTCAAATAATGGACCTGGTTTACTAAAGGCTTAGAGACAGGTCACTTAAACAGAAAGAATGTTGATATTGTAAAGTGAATTTTCAAGGATCTGTTGGTAAAGCTGTGTTTACATTGAATACTCAACCGTGTTCATATGACTGGATGCTACTAAACTCTTTTCAAACAATTATGGTTCTATAATTAAAAGCTTTTAGCCTGTAATACGTTAGCATACTTTTACCTCTTCAAAAAAATTGGAGCCTCAGTAAATTAACTTTTATTAGTCAATGGGGTTAATTTACTAAAAGAGTAAAGCTGGCCATATGCACCGTGATTTTTCTCCGATAACTGTTGAATTTAGAAATTTGAGCTGTGGGTGGCCCTGTTGACACAAGCTGACTCCACAAAGGTCAACTAGAAAATTGAAGGAGACAGGTGAACATTTTTGACCGAACGGTGACTGAATGCAATCAGATGCAGTCACTGTTCAGGTATCCAGACTGTCACTGGTACTGGCTGTCTTAATACAATAGCCAGCAGGGAAGATTCCTCCATCCATGCTGTTTAGTGTGGATGGGGAATTTAAGAGGGTTATTCACTAAGCTACCGAAGGCAGCCGAGTGAATAACTGCGCCGAAGTGAACTCAGCCAAAAGGCGTTCGGCTATTCACTTCAGCTCTGTACGGCTGATTTCATCGGCTGGCTTTGGTTGACTTTGGTCAGCCGAACACGCTCAGCATGTTCGGCTGAGCCGAAGTGCAGAAGCTGTTCCACATCTAGATCGGCTGAGCCGAGCTCCTGCAGTTCACTCTCTGACATTCGCCCCTATTCTCATAGGGGCCGAATGGCAGTGAGTGAATAGCCGAATGCCGCCGATTGGCATTCGGCTCAGCTATTCTGCTTGGTAACTCCGTGGTAGAGAGCAGAATAAAAAAATGTAAACAAAAGAAAAAATGTTTAAAAATTATTTAAATAAATGTAACAAAAAGAAAATAATAAAAAAAGTAAAGAAAAGAAAAAAAACAGCGTGGGGTCCCCCTCCCAACCACACTAGACCCTTTAGGTCTGTATGGAAAGTTAGGAGGGACCTCTATTTTTTTTAAATGTATGGGGTTCCCCCCCAAAGTCATACCAGGCCCTTTAGGTCTGGTAGGAATTTTAAGGAGGAACCCCCACCCCCAAAAAAACCTAAAATTCCTAACCAGACCCTTGATCCGAGCACAGGCCTGGCAGGGCAGGAAAAGGGGGGGATGAGCGAGCACCCCCCTCCCTGACATCACAGCTGGCTCTGCCCAGTTGTTGCCATGTAATGACAGCCCAGTGTCCTCGAGGGCACTAGGCTCTCATTGAATGACAACAACTGGGCGGAGCCAGCCATGACGCTGGCTTCGCAGACCGTTCACCCTGCTTCGGCTGTCACTACGGCTCAGCTGAGCCGAAGCATGTGCATTCTGCCCGGCTGCCTTCGGCTGCTGTACGGGCTTTTGTGAATAGCCCATATAGCAGCCCTTCGGTTCGACTGAACCAAAGGGCTCCAACGGCCGAAGGGAGCAGAAGGATCAGCCGAGGCTACAGCTGGATCCTTTGGCTCTTTAGTGAATAACCCTCTAAGTGATTTCTATTGATCAGCCCATAGAGCTGAGTGAGAGAAATCTAACTGTGTAAGGCTAGCTGAAAGCATGTTCATTTTGCAAAGTGAATTTTGACTTTGTTTAGTGAATGAGGTGAGGGTAAGCAAAATCATGTGTAGTGAAAAACAGGGATTTTTGCTTGTATATAATTGGAATTGTTGAAGGCAGCATGGCTTCACCTCATTCACTCTGCAAAGTCAATTTTCACTCATTTTGGTGAGCATGCTTTATGTCTTTAGTAAATCATCCCCATTATCTGAAGAGTGTTGACCAACTTCTTCTTAATATGGTGAAAATTATTAATTCAGCAAATCAGCTCATAATGCAGGTTTACTTGTACTCTTGTACTCTGTAATAAATACACCATCATTCACATCTAGGAAACATTAAAATAAGAATAAGGCATAACAAAAAGAAGGGGTTAACAATCCCATAAAAGTACATTATGTAGCTTTTATATTTTAAGATTATTATGCAGTTATTTCAATGTAACACTTAAACACAAATTAACATAGTTAACAAATAAATGTAAACTGTGTATTCTTTAAAAAATAAGAAAAAATCATTTTGTTACAAATACATGGAAAGACCACTATATTCATGCCAGGGTTATAAAACATATTTCTGGTGAACAAACGTCAAGTGAAAAGCAGCAATACCTGGTTTAGGATCTTCTGCAATTGTTTTTTCTGAAGTTTTAAGGATTGGCAGGGAGATGGTAACTTTGGAAACTAAAAGAAAAAATACTCTAGTGTTAAAAATTAAGTTTTATTGATCCTGTGGGCAATGCAAACCTTGGATGCCTAAATAAGTCTGTACAAAAGAGCTCAGCAAACTCATACTGTAAATAATGACTATGCCAAATGATACATATAAGGGCTGAAAGGAAACAACTGTCTCGTAAAGTAGGGCAGTCTAGTGGGAACAATGTTATTTTGATTCTGCCAGTTCCTCTGAAATAAAGTTTAATCTTTGGGAAAAAAATGTCAGCACAGAGATTTGCATTTTATCATCAGCAACAGTGAAACAAAAAATCTGTAAAGTAACAATAAGAGTATGTGTGTTTCTAACACAGGATTAATGGAAGGGACATTTTACTTGTATTACAGTACCTGCTAGATTCCAGTACATTGAAGTGTGGACTTTTGTTAATTAATAGGCCAGAGATTAAACACCAATAACAAATATACAAACCACCACATTCAAATATTTATATGATGGCAATTTTCAAAATGTTATAATAATTTAACTCTAATTTGTATACAATTGAAAGAGCTATTTTAATTGAATGTGATTTACTAATGGAATACATTTTCACTTAACTAGTTCCTCACTATTATATTGTAAGCTTTCACGATCAAGGCCCTCCTAAGCCTCTTGTATTGAATTCTATTATAACTGTACCATCTCCCTTAATTTATTTTGTAGAGGGCCGCACAAAATGTTGGTGCTATATAGGTGCTATATACAGTTTGGTGTAGAGAAATTTAAAAAGGGTTTTGCACATACAGTATTAGGGTGGTTGAAGTTAATGCAATGATTTAAGTGAAAATTCAGTTGAGCCTTCCTACATATCCAAAAAGCATTCAGTGATAATTGTAGTGTTAAATCTTAAAAATACATTCAAGTACATTAGCTATTAATACAAAAATTGCTTATTTGTGTGTGTATTTGAATTCAGTGATTTGAGTATCTGCAGCTGAGTAATATACATATAAGATACATTTGTGTTAATAGTTAAGGTACTTGAATACATTTTTAAGATTTAACTCCTGAGTTCAGTGTCACTTTAAGTGTAGCTTTTCGACACAACAATAAACATACAATGATAAACAACCCTCAGATGTGATAGCAACAGTTGTGCTAAAGTATAAAGAGGTTCAAAAACATGATTTATATGTAAAACATTGGCTGTATTTACAGTTGTGCTTGAGAGCTTTGGCAACCAAACTGAATTGCATATTTTAAGGAAGCAATACTATGGATAGTTTGCTTTAACTATTTAAATATTAACAAAATATTATTTTCAGAAGAAAGTATTCATAACTGTTCTAATAATAAAAATTAAAAAAAGTTTTTTATAAGTATTCATAACTTTTCATAAAAATTATTACATCCAGAAAATATATATCATGGCACATCAAAATGATATAAAAAATACAATACAAAAATTCCCTATTTAATGCAATCTCATTAAAAAAAACTGTCAAATCTGTTACCTTTTAGTGCTAAATACATTCAAAATATTTAAATCTTTAAAAAAAAACTCTACAGAAGTTTAAGGGATCTCACATTCAACTATTTCCAGGTAATTAGCCCTAACACAACTAAATATTAACTTAATCAATAAAAAGATTAAAAATAAGAAGATACTTAAAAGACAAATGGATTAAAATAACACACCAACCCAGGTGTCTAGCATAGGTCAAACTTGTAAAAACAAAAATCATAAGATTAAAAATTGTGGGACATGTTCCAACATTTAAAATAAATTGCGATATGTGTGTTAAACTTGCATAAACAATTAGTTCAACCATAAGTCCTCTTATTATTTCTAAATATAACTCATGAACATGTGAACTAGTTGTTCATAATTTGATAGTTACATTATATTACATTCTCCTTCCAGATCCAGACCTTATGCAAGAGTAAAGACAGGAAAACCAAAACTGAAGGCAGTGGCCTCCCTGTATGACATTTGGTTCCACTAAACATGACAGATGATTCAACATGATACATGAATGGAGCCTTCAGTACTTTACAGTATACTTCACTCTAACAACGAATAGCAATTTTTCATGTGGCTAATAAGTATCATATTGTGTAATTTTCATATGAAACTAGCATTTTTCTGCTCCCAAAAATCTATCTGATGTTAACATGTTTACATGGCCTTTATAGTTACTTTGTTTTGCTTCTATCAAGCTCAATATTTGGTTTATGTAATACAGTTTCCTACTGGCATGTCAACAGAACTTTTACTCCAAGCCATGCCCCAAAGCTGTAGGGGCCACACATTATATATTACAGACACAAAGACCTTTACTGCTACCCCCTTCCTGTAGCATACTAAACCCAGTGCTGGAGATCATTCTTGTTTCCTTTGTGTCAGCCTGGCAGGTGGACATAAAGGAAGCTGTTGCAGAATAAGTATTTAGAATATAGGTGATGAAGGCTCATTGCCCACATCTAATCCATGCTGGTGGGCCATTGTATAATCCCCAAATTCCCACACTAAAACTATTGCCATGCTCTTTAACTTTCATTCTCTTCTTATCTGGGTTAAGATAATCAAATACTTCTATTTTTTATTGTGGTAGTTTATTTAATAACAGAAAAAGATTTCCATGGAATCATACTTTCATGGCTGGCTGGCTGGCTGGCTCACCATCTGATGTATGTGGAGGTCACTGAAGATGTGGGGAAGATCACATCTGTATAAGAGCAATACTTCACCTAAATATGGATTTATTTAATCTCCTAATATTGTTTAAATGGTTAAACATCCTTATAGTGTGGACCAAATGACAGAAGTGCTTTCCTTTGGCTTTTAATATATCTATTTGTTTAATACTGACAACTTCCTTTTACCACCAAAGAAATGTCTATTGCATTACATCTTTGATTTAAGGAATTAGCTTTTATTAAAATGAAAAAAGTGCCAGATGGTGGAAGAAAGTACCTAAATGCATGCCAAAATGTTCACAGCTGTGGAGAGGCTGCATAGAAAATATCAAAACTGAACTTTGGCTATTCAGAGATCATCCAGCAGAGAGTTGTCCTTTCACAATGAGTGCTAAGTAAACAACCAGGAACTATAATCCTGCTTGGCATAACCGTGAAAAGTTTCTTCTAGAATGAGGTTTTTGCATTGATAATAGTAAAACAAGTGTTTTCCAGATTTTCTCTGAAACAGAAAAGTCCCTTTAAAGAATTTCCCCACTAAGCAACACACTTTATTGTCTAAGCTGTCTCTTGAAATAGGCAAAGCGACATCTACTTATAACCATTGCTATGGTGCATTTATCATAACTCTCATGTCCTTAAAAGCTTGCAGCTGTCTATGTCTGTGTTACCTAAGTGACAAATGTCAAAACAGAGATGAGAGTTTACCCATAGCATTAATACGTTTTATGATTTATTGCACCTCTAAGACAAAATACATTCAGAATGAGATGTGCAAGAACTTATAGAAATAGCAGGGTTTCCTGTTTTTGCTGTAGACCCAGATTAAGAATCTGGCAATATTGGCAAATATCACTGGGGCATGGAAGATGCTTCCTTACCTATATCTCTTTTTTTTTTTTAAACTTTCAGTCTATAATTGTTATTTTCCAGTGTGGGTACAAATCTGTTTAGTGCGTGTGGGACAATTATTATAGAAGACAAAAGGCTAAATTCACAAATCTTTAACAAGAGGATAAGACTCTTTATTTTAGCCAGGTGACTGTACTTATTTAAATCTCATGGGACTCTAAGCTGAAAATAAATGTCATTTTTTTCAAAACAATGACCCTTATCCTGGTGTGTTGGCTTTGTGACTTTAGCTCAATGTGATAAACTAAGCCTATCTTTCCAAAGATCTTCAGTGACAGTTTTATGCAAAACAAGACTTACAGTCCACCAACTATTTAACAAATGCAGATTAGTGCAATCACATATTTCTGTAATGGTCTGTCTGCTCCCCAGGGCTATGTCGGATGTTTGTCTGAGTAAACACAATTCCTCTACAGTTTGTTTATTGTTCTTTACTAACTTTACTAAAAAGGCATTGTGTTCTCATTTAACTCAACCCATATAAGCACAGCTAAATGGTGATATGACATAAACTATGGCATACAGGGACAACATTCTGTTAACTGTGTAACTGATTAATCATAGACAGTGCACACCACAGATTCTAAAGCTACTTTTTACACACACATATAAACACACACAATTTGGATCAGAATGACAAAATAGAACATTATGAAATAAATTGGTCAGGATTTCAAAATGTTTTACTGATTGTTTGAGGTAAAGTAAGCTTTAAAGGAAATGTAATGCACCTTAAGTAAAAAGTATTAACTCCAGATTTAATGTTATCCAGAATCTTGCATCATAAAAAGCCAACACAATTTAGCATCTTTAAGCATTACACTGTGCAAAAAATTGACATCTTTAAAACACCCACAATGCATCTTATCAAATACCTTAGGGTGTCTACTTTCCAAAATGGGGTCATTTTGTGGGTGTTTCTACTGTTGTAGTATTTTAGGGCCTCAAGAAATGTGATAGGCAGTCAGGACAGCGGGGTTGTTACATTTCAAATATTTATTCCATTGTTTTGTAGTTTTGTAGACTGTATAACTGTAACACATTCTAATTAATTTACACTTATTTTGATTTTTTTTACCAAAGAAATGTAGCATAATACATTTTGGCCTAAATGTATGAAGAAAGATAATTTATTTGCACTGTTTCATTAACATAATATAAGGAAAACTGTTTTTTTTCCTAAATTTTCGGTATTGTTTCCCTAATATAGTAAAAAATAAAAATCCTAGTGGTGATTAAATACCACCAAAAGAAAGCTCTATCTGTCCCAAAAAAATGGTATAAAATTCATTTCAGTACAGCGCTGCATGACGGAATAAATGTCAGTCAAAGTACTGCAGCGCTGAATACTGAAAAATGGCCTGGCCAGGAAGGGGGTCTAAACACCTGGTCTTCAAGTGGTTAAGCATGCTACCAATTACCCATCTGAATCCCTCCAAGTTCATTAGTTAAGTACATGCTTAATTCAATAGTACCATGTCCTGATGTAAAGTAAAGTAAAGTGCTTTTTATGATACAAGATTCTGAATAAAATAAATCTGGACTTCATACATTATGCCTTTATTGTTTCCTCCTTGCACACCTAGTCCCTGCTTAAGTAAAAGAGTCGACCTTTGGCTACCACTCCTAGGAGAGCTGTCTAAGGGTAATCAATTCCTTTACCTTTACTGAAAATACCACTGCTTATAACAGATCCAGCGCCCAACACCTTCCTCCTACTTGAAAACCTGAGGTTTCTCTTGCGGTACATGTCCATGCTGGAGAGGTTCACTCATGGCCTTTTTCACTAAGACTTAGGAAGGGGGGGTTAAAAACAACGTTTTTGAGTTTTCATAAGGACAGATAGGGAAGGCAATTCTGAGGGAAGGCAGTGATGACACCTGTTTCAGTTAAAATTTTCTAGGAGGGGACTTCCCACATTTTAAAAGATGTCCTTTAACTTCTTTTTGTGTTTACAAGTAAGTACAGTAAGTGAAGGGACACCTCTCCAATTATATCTAGAAGCCAAAAAAAAAGGAAAGCTGTCTGAAGTTTAACCATTCTCCACTGTGTCCATGAATAAGGAAAATGTTTTGGGTTTAGATATACTGTATATACTATAAGTTTAAGTCAAACTGAAGGAAATTAACATATTTGGCTCACACCAAACAATCAACTGTTTTTGAAAAATTATACTTGGACAGTAATAGTTTGTTATACTTTAACAAATGCATTGTCTTCAGGTTAATGCAGCTTTTCTGATCCATACTCAGTAATGTTTTAGCATGATATTGTATTGCAAAATTATTACAAAATAAAAGAAGTATTACCAATGTGCATCCATACACTGAAATAGTACCAGTGGACCATAAAGAAATTATATATACTAGTGGCTGGAGATTCTCTGATACATCAGTATTACTGGTGTTTGTTTGCACAATTTGCAATACTACAACTTGTTTATCCCAGAAAATATGACAGCAGCGATTGTAGAACACAGAAAAAGGAGCACCAAACATCTTTAGAAAATAAACTCTCAGAAGTGATTGTCTTTCATTAGTAGCAAATGCTTATGCAAAGTGAGTATTACCATTGCTTGTTGAAGCACTGAATTCTATGATCAGCCAACGTCTTAGTTTATAGTACCTTCATTTTAAAGCATTCAGAAAGAAAAAAAGGATGGAGCATACCTGGTTTTGGTTTAGGTGTTTGTGGCCTTGTGGTGGTCAAAGGTGGCTTCTTTGTCTCTTCCCTGAGGACTAAAAAATAAATAAATACTGTAATATTTAATGAAATAGATCATGGAAAGAACACAGAGGTTGTATAATGCAGTAGTAAAAAAAAAAAGATTTGCATGGGATACAATTCGCCAAATAGACATAGGGGTATATTTAAAAACAATCTGCAAAATTTTATATTGTCTTTATTAGTTCAATGTAATTTTGAATGGTATCATGTAATACAGCATTATGGCCACTAGAGAGAGCTAAGGAGCATAGGAAATAAGTATTTTTTTCCTATGCTCCTCAGCTCCATCTATTAGAAACAAAACTAACAGGAGCAAATAAGAACTGTTTTGCTCCAAACATTTTTGCATTGTCATAACAGTTTAGCTACACGTAGAATGACATTTGATTTAAATGCATTTTGTTTTGCACTGAAACTCAATATAGTTTCTATTCTGTGATGTCATGAAGATGCTGCAGATTGATTTCATCTGGGCAGCAGCTCCTCCTGGCAGCAAAAGTGTAAACTCTAACAGGGCTCAAATGTACAAGTGTCTCTAACATGTCCTGGGTTAAACAGGGTTGAACGATTGTAAATACACAGATACAGAACAAAGAATTGCATTCCTGGAAACATTTTCAAAGCTAGCTTACATGCAAAAATACTTAAGATTTGCAAAAGTAAAGCTCTGAAAATGTATTTACTGAATTCTGTGAGTGGCCCGACAGTCAGTGCCTCAAGATGCAGATTGGAAATGTGCATCGTCTTAAGTAAAATGTGAATGACATACACAGCATAGGGGACATAACACTAGACAAATACCTGTACTTTGTACTGTTGGTGGAGGCACAGCTATGGGTCTTGTAATATTTTGAAAACCTGTAAAAATGACATGTAGGCTTTAGAGTACTTAACAGAATACATATTTGAGAACATTTGAATTCAATTATATCAAATAGATTTAGGCACAGCAAATGGGCTTCATTGTATAGTTGCATGGTGATATTGGTGAATCAGATTTTAAAGCTGAACTCTGGGATAAGCAAATATTATCTAAATATATGAGGAAGTTGAACCTTGGTGTACTTTGTGTATTTCTTCCAGATCTATACAGTAATCCATCGTAAATCTTTGCCGCTGTATAGGAGCTTCTTGTAATAAAGACTAGTCACTGCTGCTCTCTCCTGGTGCAAGGCGACTTGTCTTGTATCTGCCCCCTCCTGTTTTCTGCAGGCAATAGATAGTGAGTGGCCATACTAGATCTTTCCCACAACTCCGCTCTCTGCATTGGCTATGAACAACACCGCAATGATGTAATTGCTACTTATAAATTAATATCTGAGTTTGCAAAGGCATTTGGTGCACACAAAGTGGATTTGTATCCTCTGTGACTAGGGTTGCCACCTACTCTGTGTTTTGAGTGGTGCCACCACCAGTCCAGGTTTTGAATCCTGTATGTGCTGTGTCCATGTTTCAGGCCAGCTGAAACCCAGACACAAGATATCACAATGTCAGGCGTACAGGGGCAACCACACGGTCCTAGTTTTGCTGCTCTTATGTAGCCGCATTTCGTGCACAATAAGGGCGTAGACCTCTTCTGTGACTGGGCTAAATTTATACACTGAGAGTCAGGATTGTGGTGGGGGCAGTAGGAACCAGTGTTGTTTTTTTCATATCACCCCTTAATGTCCCTCATGCCAAAAAAATTGAGTTCAGCAAATAATTTGTGACTTTTGAGACACTTTGTACTTTGGCCTATTTACCAAGTTCTGCACTGTATGGCCCTGCATCAGGGACACAAGATGTCACTCTTTGCTATCTATCCTCTCTCTCTTGGCTTTCTCTCTCATCTCTCTCTCCTGGCTATCTCTGTTCTCTCCCCCTGGCTGTCTCTCCTCTCTATCTCCCCTTGCTGTCTCTCTTCTCTCTCCCTGGCTGTCTCTCCTCGCTCTCTCTCTCTCATGGCTGTCTCCCCTGACTGTCTCTCTTCCCTGGCTGTCTCTCCTCACACTCTCTCCTGGCTGTCAATCGCTCTCTCTCCTGGCTCTCTCTCCTGGCTGTCTTTCCTGGCTCTCTCTCCTGGCTGTCTCTCCTCTCTCTCTCTCCCCTGGCTATCTCTCATTGCTCACTCTCCTAGTTGTCTCTCCTTGCTCTCTCCTCGCTGAATATTCTCTAAAATACGAATTGCCACGCAGTGCTAGAGTGTTCGGGATTTGCTTGAAGAAAAGGTGGCAACCCCAGCTGTGACTATTGAGGAATACATTTCATTGTTTTTTTGAGCCTGGAGCCTTGAGCCTGCGGTTCACCTTTAAGAAATTTCTACACTGCAGTTCTCATACTCTGAATGAATCATTTACTCATTGGGTCATAGAAAACAGCCTTGATACTAAGTTTGCTCTGAATCAATGAGTTCATTAACCAATCAGAGTACAAGAACTAGTCAAAAAAACCTGGCAGACCATTATATCCAAACTCAGTGAACAAGATCATGGGAGTGAACTGCGCAGTCTGCCAACAAAGCAGATTTTAAATAATTTTGCTCATGTTTACTATCTAGTATTGGAATTAAACTTGTAATGTAAACTTCACATTTTTTCTCAGTAGTTCCAGAGCAAACATACTGTGTGGAGCTTGCTCAATTAAGAAACCAAACCAATCAGTTGTTCTATGCAGGTTTATATAAACATCTTCATTTGATTTAAATGATAATATTTTGAATACTGATGTTGTGCCATTTAAGAACTTTAGCTGCTGAACGTCTTGGTAACTTACATACACAGCTCTGGGATTTATAAAAAATCGCAATATTCATGTTGATATGAGGAGTGATTTATTGATACTGCATATTGTAAAAAAAAAAGACCATAGATAACATGCTTCTGTGGCTTTACATAAAAGTGACTGCAAACTATGGAAATGACAAAAATATTACCCTCTCATTTTTTTAGGCTACAATTTAGGTGGTAATGATTGCATTTTGTTTTGTACCAGAAAAATGATAAGCATTTCATTAAATAATAGAGCAATCATCAACTGTTGTATAGCACATTTTAGAAGCTTAGCTTAGGTGACAGCTGGGTGCTGATTTGAAATTGGTTGCTACTAAATACTTTGCTTCATTCCTCTTTGTGTTATAGCAAAGAAGGCAAAACATTCAAAACATTAATTTGCTCATTTTAGAGAGATGTCTTCTTAAAGTCCATCTTCAAGAAAATACTAACCCTCCTGCCTCTCCTCCCTCTCACCGTGCTCTAACTCTAAGTGTTTCTGAACATTTTTCAGTCACAACACATTTTAAAATTATGCAAAATCTTGAGGCACCCAGTCTAAAATGTAGAAAAACATGAATGCAAAGATATACAAAACAACATGTAATCCTGCCAAAATCCTTATCTGAGATAGGGGTCTGGTATGGATTTTAAGGAGGGAATCCCCCCTTTCACATTAGATTCCTACTTTACATCACGAGCCCTCCTGAACATTAGGAGCTCCTTCCTTTTATATCAAAGTCCCCCTTTAACACTAGATTCCCCCTTTACATCAAAAGCCCCCTTCACGTCAGAGCTCACTCCTTTCACATCAGAGTTCCCCCTTCCCATGACAAGGCCCCCTTCACATCTTGAAATCAGAAGCTCCCTTCTCTTCAGGAGCCCTGTTCACATTAGGAGCCCTCCTTCATACCAGAAACCCCTGGGACAGGCCTTGTCAAAGGTGAATTTCTGTCCCTTTCTCAAAGGATCCCCCCCTTCCTAGAGTAGTGTAATTTGTTTCCATGGTGCTGGCAGCCAACCCACCAGCTCCATGGAAAAGTATTAAGAAGTGCAAACATTTCGAGGCACTCCTGGGTAAGCCAGAAGGCACCCCAAGGTGCTGCATCACCCTGGTTGAGAAAGGCTGTTCTAACTGATCAATGGAGTAAAAAAAAAACCTGTCTAAATGCCTTTTAACTTACCTAAAACTGTGGTCATATGAGGTTCAGGTCTCAAGTCTTCCTTCTTCTTTGGTCTACTTCCTGTGGGATCCTTCTTTGGGTGTCCATGTCACTGCCTGTGTGAAATTGACAATTTCTATTGGCTGTCCAGTGGCAGGGTTCTCTCAGGATCCACAAGAGGAGTGGCTTCATTGCAAGGTGACAGTAGGGGACTGGCCAGCAAGGGACTATCTGCAGAGCAGGATTAGCAGTCCCCCACAGCTGGAAATGGCACTAACAAGGGACCTGGAGGAAGGACCTAGTATAGATTTGAGTATACCTTGCTTCACAAGGTAAAGAAGCATAGAAACCCCACAGCATGGGTTAGAGGGGGTGAGAGGGATGGGTTGGAGGAGGGTCATATTTCTCCTGGAGTGGGACAAAGTGAAGCTCACCAGCAGAGAAAACCTAACTATAAACTGCTTCTAGCATTCAAATAAAAAATAGAACATTCTCTTGCATATATTTTTTCAAATATATATGGGTCATGTTATGAGAAGAGAGCAGAGTGAGATATAAGCTCTTCAGTCTGCTGCTTCTCTTTGCTGTCCAACAACAAGCTGGAGGTGGGATAAGACCTCTGAATGTAAATTGACTGCAGCAGAGAAAAATAATTTCTTCAACAATGCCAGATCGGTTGGTACTTTTGGACAGAGCTGTGTAAATCTCAGGACTGGGTGGACAGAAATACAAATCCTTCGGTAGTTAAAACTTATATGTATGTCATCTTTGTATGTAACTGTTTACCTGCAGTTGAGTTTTAACTAAACAGACATTTGGTAAAATTAGATAATGTATGTAGGTATGATGGTTGAGTTGGTATTACTTTATATATAACTCACAACTATAGTACTAGATAGGGTAAATGGGAAACAAATTAGTTCCTGCCTCATCAGCTTTCAAACAGTTTGGGAATATATACTGTAGACATTAGCATGCAGAACAAAATACATATGCAAACATTAGTTAGATACTGTTCCTTTTGGATCCTGAGCTGGTGTGTAATTATTGCGTGTATTTTGATTACTAAGCTGTTCACTTTTTTGCCAAGCTTGGACGTGTTTTCTTGTTTTTCAGCTGGTACATTTCTGGTTTTACAATCTTATAATTGTTCTTCAATGCATACACATTTATGTTAAAGAAGAACTCTGGAAAAAAATGTATGAACCCTTTCAGTGGGGCTACCCCCCCACTACAATTGTTAACTGCTTGTTTGTATATAGGAGCAACAATAACACAGATATACTCATGCAAACTGCTGAGCCTACTCCCTGCACATGGAATACTCCTCAGGGTCCTCACATCTATACACTTATACAGAACATGAAGACACAAGGATTCTTTGACTGCTGCAGAGGAGGTGGAGAGAGGCTCCAGGGACCGGTCCAAGAACAAGCCGGCTGAAATGATCGGTGAGTATAACATTTTTTTTCTTTAGCACCTAGACACAAACGAGCGGTTAACCCTTGCAGTGTGGGGGTAGCCCCACTGCAAGGGTTAATAAAATTCCTCCCCTGGAGTTCTTCTTTAATATATACACATTTTTATGTAATATAATCCTAAATTTAGCGACTAATCAAAAAACTGTTAATGTTACCTTGCTTTACTACCATCACTGGAATGTGAGCCTTTGTGTCTTCAGCGGCATACTAGAAAAAAAATGCATTTAGAATTATTATTAAGGTACACAAAGTTATTTATATTCAAACTCTATCACACACATTATGCAGATTAGTCCAAAGAACATACAATTTATTAACTTTTACAACATATCTTACAAAGAATAAAAGGTGCACAGTCCCATACATGCACCAACATGAAGAACTGTGGGTCCTCCCTTTTATCTGCTCACTTTCATTATTTTGGTTAGATGGTGAAGAG